TTTTGAGGGGGTCCTCCTCACCGTACATCACAACTGCACATTTAGCGTGCCCAATTTTCAGGGTTTGCCATTTGATCACCCATTCAGAAATGATTCGACATCCTTCCTCGAGATCCTCAATAGAGTCAAAGAATGCTGCGGCATCATCTGCGTACAACTTTCCTTTATCCGTGAAGTTCCCTCCAGCTGTCTTGATCCCAGGTACTACGACTCCGGGCAACTTTTTGAACAGGTCATTTATAAAAATGATGAATAGAAGAGGGGAAAGGGGGCAACCCTCCTTTGTGCCAACTTCCATGGAGTAGCTTGGTGAGAGCTCATCTCCTGTACGGATTCTGAACTCGCTATTTTCATAAGCAGCGTTCAAGAAACCAATGACATTTTCGGGAATCCCAAGATGTCTGAGCTTTTTCCATAGTGCTTCATGTGGCCGCTGGGAAATGCTTTTTGAAAATCGATGAAGAGTGCATATGTCTTTTTACCAACATTTGCTCTTCTACGAACAACTTCTGTTAAACAGATGAATTGTGAAATCCCTTCTTCATTTCTCCTAAAACCACCTTGATCCTCGGAGAAGAAATCCTTTTCATTAAGAATACGGCTCATTCGATCCTCCAAGATGGTCATAGTCAATTTGTTAAAGGCAGTCGAGAGTGTTATACCTCTTCGATTGGTTAATTCAACCGGATCTTTATTCGGTTTGGATAATGAGACAACCACATTTTTATTATCAGCCGCGGCCGGGCGGCCCATTTCTAGCGACTTGTTAATAATTAGCAATGCGTATTGTCCTGCAGGCGTCACCATTTTAGAAAAGATGTCTTTAATAGGCACCGGATGGTAGACGTGATCCAAAGGCTGGTAGAATGTGCCTGCCTTTGTCTTTACCTGCTCTAATTTTCCTGACGTGACCTTGACCGGGACAAGCAGATTTTGTGCATCCCATTTCCATGAGACAACGCCATCTGGACCTCGGTAGATCTCCGCCGGACTCTCAGTGTTTGAGAATAATTTCTTAAGAAGTTCTTTCCGCGAGAGGTCCTTGGAAGTATGTTGGTCAAGCGCCGCATTTAGCATCCCAACAAACTGTCCTCGCTCATGCTTCAAGATCTCCTTGAAGAGGCTTGGGGGGAGGTTATCGTTACCACAAGCTGCATTAGGGTTCAGTCTGCTGCAAGCTGACAAAAACTCCTGTGGGCTGACTTCAGACCCAATAATGCCGCAATCAAGAGGTTCATCCTCACAAGTGAGGTTCTCCCAAAAGACGGGGTCCTTGGAAACTTTTGTAGAATCCAAAGCTAATCGACTAAAGTGTTCATACTCTGCATGGTTGATGTCACTTTCAGTCACACATAATGTCCCTTTTGCATTCATGCATGGGATTGGTTGGCTTTTACGCTTCCCAAAATGATCAGGTAATCTACGCTTGATTTCCTTGTGGTATTCAAGCATGTCATGACCTCTTAGTAGCTCGACGGCTTTTTGCTGGGTTTGAGCTTTTTGCTCTTTCTCAAACTTGCGGATAGCCACCGAAGCACGTCGGGAGGCTTCCTCAGCAATTCTAGCGCGTCTAATCAGTTCGGAGACTGGAGTAGCTACCTTATTGACTTGAAGATATTTATCTTTAGCTTTTCGAGCTGCACTCAAAAGTCTAGCAATCTGACGGGGGTAGTGAGACTTGCGTCCTACTGCACCAGTCTTAAGAATGCCAATGTCTTCTGCTGCTTTCTCAAGGCACTGTTGATAATTATCCCGCATCTCATCTAATTCACTTGTTTCGTTGAAACCCTCCCAAGCATCATTAACTAGAAGCTCGAAGGAGTTTCCCTTCAACAAGTTTTTGTCCCAAAATTTCTTTGGGGACTTAATCGACTCGGAACGTGAGTTCTTTGTCCGCAGTTTCATCCGAATTGCTGCATGATCAGAAAGTCCATTATAAGATAATGACATCTCTCTCTGTACCTTGACATTAGATGTCAAGTCACGTAAAGAGGACGAGATTACCCAATGATCTATTCCATTGCGTTTTCCTTTTCGGGGAAGACGCGTTAAGTGTGAACCAGTACAAGGCTTTACAGTCATCTGACCATTGGTTTTGCGCATTGCCAGCGTACTAAGAACACTTTTTGCCATATTGAAGTCGCCTCCTATAGCAATTTTACATTCTGGGTCTTTGTCCAAGAGTTTGTTAACAATCTCCCAAACTGGCAAGAGTTGAGTTTTTCGCATCCTGCCGTGGTTAGACCCAGACTGAAGATACACCCCAAAGATATGCCAAGCTGACTTATCGTCGAGTCCGGTGACTACTAGATGCATGATGTTCGGAACACCGGTTGGCTTCTCGTAAGCGCCAATATCGTCTCTTACCATCATACAAAGCCCCCGGAACCCAGGTTTAGCTGGGTGAGTATATGAACGGAAGTTTTTAATTTTCGGTTCGTAATTCTCTACTTTACGTAGATGTTCCCCTAGCACTATAACTGCCGCGTTTGAGCGGTTGGCAAGGCTCTTTAATGCCATGCTTTTGTAATTAAAGCCATTAGAGTTCCAAGCAACTAGTGCAGGGTCACGATAATCAACGCGTGGTTCACAAGCTGGAGCCAGTGGTCTAGGTGCAACTGCGTCTCTCCAGTCCTTGGCAAGACAAACTCGCCAAGCCTTCACAGAGAAACAGTCAGACTTAGGCTGACCCTCAACCCAAAATGCTCGAGTCTTGCGGGACATCAAGGTGCACGTTTGTGACTTCCTATCTTCGTAGGTAAGTTCTAATAATGGTGCCAGACCGTTGGCCAAGTCTGGGGAAACCCAGACATTATACCTAAGTCTATGAAAGGGCTGACGCACTTTCAGCACTGCGCGGACGTTTTCAGTCTGAGCAATATCAAGGCGGGCTTTGAGAAATGTCCAGATATCAACGGGAGTAATATCCGAAGTCACATTGTGAACCCCAAATAAAACAGCGTCTTTAAGCAAGTTCTTTGCTTTAATCTGGTTAGATCCCTTCCCAAAAGTAATGTCACACTCCCTCAGCCAGTTGTATGTACGAGTTGCTTCTGGAGTAATCCGTACATTTGTGACCGGGTTGGTGAAAGGAAGAAGGTTCATAGGTAACTTCTCCTGTTGATCGACAGGTGTGACCTGTCTACTGTTAGACTTTACGTTGACAGTGTTAATGTGTATGTGGTGACCCAAAGCTGGTGCCTGCATACTTGGTGCCGAAGACTCTGAGGCACTTGCGGACATGAATTGTTCATCATCAACATTACTGTGATTGGAACTTGATGGTTCATTAGAAGAACTGCCAAATGGAATATAGCTTGATCCGGCCGATTTGGAGCAATCAGAGTCTGAACTAATTACTTGAACAGAATCCGACCCTATCGACTGCACACTTGGTGACCCAATGTTCGGAACGCGTCCTGAGTGTTCAAAGAGAGAATCCTCTGGCTCTTGCGAGTCGGAGTCCTCTTCCTCAGAGACCACACAGAACTTGCCAATTCGCCCAGAAGTAGTTAAGCCTTTTGGAATGAGAGGTATAACCATCTCATCGGAAGCCGTTACTTTGGATGGCGCCGCACAGTAAACTGTGTTAGGCATAATCGGAGGACAAGTAAAGGTGAACGGAATAGGGTTTTGGCCCTGTGTTTCCGCTCGATACTGTTCCTCTAGTCTGATTCTTTTGTGAGAAGGACCAGCATTAATCACTTCTATAAGTTTTCGCTTATTCGAAGTCAAGGCGGTGTGGTGACGACCCTTCTTTGCTTTTGAGGGGAGGTACTCGCCGTAAGGGTCCCGTTTTGAAGGCTTGCGCTTTCCAATAACAGGATCACAGTAAAAGCTGGAAACTTTGACTGTCTTTGCATTAGTGGAACTAGTAATATTCTCCGATGGCGAATCCCGTCCAGTACAATCCGCATCTGACGTGGAACTAGTAATGGCCCCAGATGATGAACCCCGTCCAGAACAATTCACATCTGCCTCTAAGGAAACCGAGGAAACCCTATTAACCATAGAGCTCGAGGAGCACTCTACGTATCCTTCCCTGCAGGACATGGCCGTCTCCACATTGTGGCAACGAACCGACGGAACTTTATTAATATGGTTTGTCATTTTTCATTTAGAGGTTTGTCTTTCCGGCGACAGCCGTTGAAGTCATTAGATTTACTACATGCATACTGGGCGAGAGTATGTAATTTTCAACCAACAACAGCTAACAAGCTCTTGAGACTTAGAGTCACGTGAATTTCTCCACTCCCTTTGCACATGATCGGGAAAGAACTCCAAGCGTTCACGCATGTTAATCTTTTGCTATCCTTTGCATAGTCAAAGAAATGGGAATCATGGCAACTTTTGTTGCGTCATTACAATTGACATTGTCAATGACATTATAATGGGGACTAGGGGTCAATAAAAAAATCTTCACTTTGTCCCACTTTTACTCGTATTACTTTTTTTTTTTTTTTTTTTTTTTTTTTTTTTTTTTTTTTTTTTTTTTTTTTTTTTTTTTTTTTTTTTTTTTTTTTTTTTTTTTTTTTATCATTATCATTATCATTATTGTCATTATCGTATATGTTATACTTGTTTTGCAAAGTCCTAACTTTAATCGTGTAGCTCATCATGAAGTGTTCTTTCCACCGTCAACAAAAGTGCGGTGTGTTTCTCAACACACCACAACTTAAGTTGACGAATACCACAAGGGCATTCCTTGGCTTTACTTATTCACGGAGCCACATTGCTTGTACCACTGTTTCAGGGTCCCAAGCATAATCTATCATTCTTAAAACTTCTTAAGTGTAAATGGGTAAATTATGGGTAATGTAGCCAAAGTCTGACTTTGGAATACGTACTGATACACTGCTAACCTTTTTACAGGCCACAATGCACCTCTGGGTTTGGGTGGATAAGTTGTCAGACAACTGTGAATTGTTGATACCTGTAACATGAACATGTTCTTCTCCTTTCAGAGGGCGTTAAACAAGTTGGATTTTATTTAACTCGTCTCAACAACAAGTCTTTTTATTACCACCTCTAGTCCTTTGAGTGATGTACTGATGATGTACGGAGGAAATGAAGATATTACACTTTTGTCAAAGCACACTGTTGCCAGCGTGAGTAGTGTTTCAACAATCCAGACCAGTGCGTGAGCACTGGCCGATCTGTAAGTTTCAGCCTTGTGCCGATCTCCAATCAAGAACACACTTTTCAGTGTGCCCTTTCATCCTAAAGTTTCAGCCTTGTACCGAATTCCAACAATGATGTTTTGTCCACAAATGCTACACTGCGACTATCCCGCAGACTCCAATATAGCGCCACGAAGAGCGTTTTTGTGCCAGGAAAATCTCCGACGTTGGAGCCCACGGGGAAGGACTCACGAGGTCATGGTCTTGCTCTTTGCTATACGCGCTTTTCCTAAAAAAATAAAAATCTACAAAAGTCTTTTCAGACGATTGCAGATTTTTTCTTTTCTTAAAGAAAATAAATTTTCTTAAAAAAATAAAATCTACAAAAGTTTTTTCAAACAATTGCAGATTTACATTCTTTAGGAAAATAACCCCCAAACCGAACTCCCACAACCGAACTCCGACAAACCAACTATTTGAGCAGACGCGTGACCTACCAGTTAAACTGGCTCCTTCATTATATGGAAACTTTAATATATTAATAATTTTTGTTTTTGGTTGTTGATACCTGTAACATGAACATGTTCTTCTCCTTTCATAGGACTATATATAAGTTGGCTTTTATTTAACTTGTCTTGACAACATGTCTTTTTATTACCGCCTTTAGTCCTTTGATTGATGTACTGGTAATGTACGGAGGAAATGAAGATATTACACTTTGGTCAAAGCACGCTTTCTTAGCGCGAGTAGTGTTTCAACAATCCAGACCAGTGCGTGAGCACTGGCCGATCTGTTTTTTTTTTTTTTTTGAACGGACGCGCCTTGCAGAAGTAGTCTTTCAACCATTCTGACTGTTCAGGGAGAAATTTCTCGACGAAACACCGTCCAGGAGCTTTCACCCCTTTCAGACTATAATCCTTTATAGCCCACCCTCTTTGGAGCCGGCGACATGGGATTGACATTCACAGGTATCACCCTGCTTCAGCCGACCCAGTAAAACCCATAATGCGCGTGATCACCATACGTTTACACGCCTCGGTAACAATAACATGTTTGCCGCATAAGTGTGACTACTAATCACTCCGCGGTCGCATTTCGTGTCGCAGCATAATGGGTTTTTGTGATTGCAGTCTGATACTTCAGTACTGCTCTCTGCAAAAACCTAGCCGTCGGCACGAAGCCATATGTTCCCATATTTTCCGGCATAATACCGGTTAGATGTCCAAACCCGACCCTCCAAGTGTATAAGAATCTCTCTGACCTGCTCTTACCCTTGAGAAAGGTACGAAGCGCAGCACCCTTCCGGGTCTGCGGAAGGCACATACCTCCCATAATGAGTGTACCCAAGCTTGACACCTGGTTACACATGTCTTCTCCTCTTACGACGGACGAAGCTCTTAAGTCAGCAATAATTGCTGATAAATGCTCATCTCTGAGTTCATTTAATGATGTACATTGAACGAGGAGGTGATCAATCTCCTCAGTGAATTCCCCGCCTTCATCAACGCGACTTTCGCCACATAAGGGACAGCCATTTTTTCCTAATCTTTCAGCTTCGGGAGTGAGGGAGCCGTTCACTTCACTTTCAATGAATGCTTTTTCGTTTGACGGAAAAAGCCCTAATCTAGCTTTTGTTAAGGCTAGCACCCCAGCGCGAAGCTCCGGGTAGTAAAGTTCAGCCTTTTTAAAGTGCCGAGTTGTACCTTTCTCTCCGAGTAGGTACGTGTAGTTCTCAAGCGCAGTATTCTTATTAAAGAATTCTTCGTGCCAGAGGTGGAGTTGAAGTTGCCTTCTCTCCTCTTTAATGTGATCAGGTAGCTTCTTTTTATATAATTCTTCTTGAATTAAGAGCGACTTGATCATTGAAGGCTCTAATTTAGGGCCCTCGACATCATCTGGTGAGGATGACATCTTATTAATCTTTGCCTTAGCTTTTTTGACTACGGCATGTGTAATGGCACTCCAGGTTTGTTTAGTACCTGCTTTGTGCGTGTCAGTCAAGATTACTCTTGCATCTGTCTTTAATTCTGACGCCTTTGCAAAGATGCGGTGACGTGCAGTTGCGCAAGCTACTTCAATGGTAGGTATGCCTAATTCCCAGGAAACTTGTGCATAGTTGACCTTTGCATGTTTCCTTGGGATTTCCAGAACCATTCTCAGGGCCCGGTTATCTCTTCTTGAATCGGCGCAGTGCGCTCCTTGTTCATTCCAAGCCATTCTCCACCGTACAACGC